AGCTCAATTCAATCTGAAGGATATACACTGAAAAACAGATGAAATCCTGCTTTAAAAATAATTAGGATTATTATTACTTCAGAGGGCGGACAAGGAAACGCTTAAGATGACAGATTTTATTCTTTTCTCCAAAGCCATTTTTTTTCACTCTTTTAACTGGATATTAAAGCCAGTCACGTACTTGCTATTAAGGAGACAGGCAGATCTAACAGAACGATGTCTGCTCCTGGAAACTGATAGGTCTGAATTGATCCTCACAATTAGGAACATTAAGTTAAATCCTGGTATCTGAGCAAAGACAGACAAACACTGGACTAAATGGAATATGGTTACTTAATGCCAGTGGGAGATGGTCCAGATAAAATTGACTGGCTCTGTTCTTGCTTTAATATCTTCTCGCATCCACTGAGAACCTGGGAAGGAGTGGTCTGATACAGGAACATTTTCTTCATGTGCAACACAGATGAAGTGAGGATACCTACTATTTTCAACTAGTTAGCTATCTTCTCAAAATCAAACCTTGTTTCGGGAATGACCTCCAAGTAGAACATCTATCTGCCTTACACAAAGACGTAAGTGCCAGTGATGGCAAGCGTGACAGCTTTGTGATCTTCTAGCGCTCACTGCAAACAGACATGGATCCCTCCTTCCATTTCACATCTGAATAAACGATACATAATTTTTCCTTTTTCTCACCCAGTACCACCTTTTCTGCTTTAGCTCCAAAGACTAGTGTGTATTCTTCTGGTAGGTGCCATCAGACTAAGCTCTCTGTGATGCTGCAGCTGGGACTGCCTAGCTCACTTGCCTTCTCCACACCTCTCCCAGCTGTCAAAGGCCTGCTCCACACTGTCTACAGCAAACTCAATAAGTATTCCTCCCCTGTAAATATGTGTTTATCTAGTGTAAATGTGGCAAAATATTTATAGCTTACATTTAGAGTGTCAAGCACAAGATGCAGAGGAGAGATGATAACTGTGTCTGACAGGGGGAAGGAAACAGCCAGGAGAGGAAGTGAGGCTTACGCTGGGTTGAGGATTTGCTGAACTGAATGAGGGCAAAAAAAAAAAAAAAAAAAAAAAAAAGAGGCATGAAATGGCGTGGCCAGACTGAGAACAAGAAGGAGCATGGGTCCATGGAGGACTTGTAGGGCGGGCGGGCAGGCAGGCAGTGGAGGAGTAGAAAGGCAGTGACTAGAGGTCACAAAAATTTCCCTGGCAGAATGAGATGGTTGTATCTGCTTGTAACAATCACCGTGAAAGCTGGAGTTAACAGAGCACTTATTATATGCACTTTTGTAGGTGCTTTCTGTCAATCATTCATTTAAACAAACAGCAAGTTTATAAAGTAGGTACTTTTACTACCCCATTCTGAAGGTGAGGAAACCAGGACTGAGAGGGAACAAAATTTACCCAAGGTGAAATTAAAACTGTTGGGAACTACTACAGATGCAAATTAGCTCTGTATGGAAGTACTGTTGGGGTGAACCAGAAGGCAGAAAACATGGTCAAGCTGCTGAATTCCTTCACGTGAATGACATGTGAGATGGTTAGTGTGGTGGTTGTGGGTGCGGTGCAGAGCTGGCCTCAAGAGCTGATATTCAGGCTGAGTTTTGCTGATTAGGCAGAGCAGGTGTGGTGGAGGGAGGCGCCTACAATGTCTTCCAGGGCTGCACTGGTGAAGGGTGGGGTCCTGAGCACTCTGGGGTGTTGATGGGGAGATATTTGGTAAAGGAGATGAAGCCAATTTGGGAGTATTGCGTTTGAGGCACCCACAGGGCAGGCTTCATTAGTTCATTCATTCAGAGCACATTCCTGCTGCTTAGTACCTGCCAGGAACTGTGTGAAGCTCCCTGTGCCCAGCTTGCTTTCCAAGAGAGTGGACAGCAGCTAGCTGGTATGTGGAGGTGATAATAATGAGAATAATAAACACAATTTCCATTCTTTAAGTGCTTGTCACAGTCACTGCAGAGTGCTTTCTTCATGCCATCTCAATTCACACAAGTCTCTGAGGGAAGAACAAATGCCTATTTGGCACCTGCTACATACCAGGTACTGTTTTAAATGCTCTACATGCATGAAATCATAAAACCCTAGAAGTACTGTCCACATTTTACACAGACTAGAAAACTCATTCAGGTCATGAGCTAGCAAATCACAAAACTAGTACTTGAACTTATGGACAGTCTAGGTTCATGTTACAGATTATGAAACTGAGGTTCAGTTATGTCCACGTAATTGGTCCCAAAAAATCAAGTACCGATTAAGAGGTGGAAGTAGGATTTGGACAAATGTCTGCTTAACTTCAAGCTCCTGCCACATAACTTCTGTACATAAGAGAAGTTCTTGAGCCCGTGCAGAACACAGTGGTGACATGAAGGAGAGGCAGCAATGAAGTGAGTGCAGAAGGTTGGGGAGCATCAGAGGCTCATCCAGAAGGGTATGCTTTTCTCAGTTCTGGAAGGGCTTCCCAGAAGGACAAAAGTGTCTGGAAGACAAGTGGAAGATGACTCTAAGTGACAGGAAGAACTCTTCTCCCTCCCCAAGTAGAGGGGCAGGTACAAATACAGACAGACCTGTAGCTTTAATTTTCTTCCTGAGGGAGGAAGCAAGCTCACAGGGTGTGAAGGACTTGGAAGACGGTGAAAATGTGGATGGGTATTGGACAGAAGAGAAGATAGCACTGCCCGACAATACAGAAAAGGATAGAACCTAATTGGTCACTCAGAATTTTCATGTTCATTTTACACATCAAAGGTGACAGGCTGGTGAACAGCTGTAGCCCCCACCTTACCTGCATCTTGCTCCCAGGCGATATGGCTACAATGAAATCAAGTGTCAGAAACTTACTAGAAAGGAGATAATAGAAACTGCTGTTTATTCAGCCTGCATGGATGGTTCATTCAAAGAAAACGTAACAAATCTGGCAACAGAATCTGAAAAAGCATCTAGTTTGATTAGGTAACAGATACAGGACACATACCATACAGAAATCTTAAGGCTAAAGTATCATTCTAGTGTCAAATTCTACCACCTTGTTGATGCAAGGGTGGAAATGTTGTATAGTGGAGTGAATGAGTCACGTCTTGAAGACTAGTAGGCTGAAAACCAAAGCTAAGGTGCCCGCCACTCCCATCTGTAGTAGTGAAACTGAGGCTGAAGATGAAAGTGGGAATCATCAGCACACAATCCTGGTAGCTAAACACACAGAAGGCAAGAAAATAATGTAGAAGAAAGAATATAACATGGGGAAAAAGAATGAGCCAGAAGGAATCACAGTATCAGAGGTCTAGGCAGAGAACAAGGGATCAAAGTGTGGCGGGGTCAGAAGAGTCAGAAATGGGAAGAGAATTGGGGTGTCATCAAAATCAAGGCACAAGAGTTGCTCCTCAAATACTGTGTCCCCGAGAATTCTAGTAACGTAAGAAACTGGCCAGGACCACCTGAATTTGGCAAAACCTTGACAGAAGAGTCAAGATCGTGAGCAGAAGCTGAAGGACTGGACCTTCCTTCAGAGAAGCGATGCTGCTGCTGCAGCTGAAAGGAAGACAGTGAGGGTGTGCATGCACTTAGGGGTTTGTAGGTGCATTGACAGACTGCTGCCTGATCATCCCTACTTGTCTATCAAGTAGAAGAAAGACACTTCCCGAAGTGACAGAGACTGGTGTTTAATCTCTTTGGATCACGGGCACAGAGATAAAAGAGTCTGATAAAAGCTACTGAAGTATATGGAAGGGGATGTCCAGAAGCTCCCAACGTCACACCTGCCTGCTCAATGGTCCTGTTTCCACAAGGCTATTTTTTGCTTTTAGTCCCTGCTCCAAGCAAAGATCAGGCTCTCCTAACATCTCTGTGACTCCATCCTTCTCACTTAATCCAACACATCAGCAATTCTCTCTCCTAGTTTGTCAGTACAGAGGACACCTTTATTTCTGGCAAACAAAAACACCAAACCTAACTTGATCCCCACATCCCCCCAGTTACTCTCCATCTCTTACCATCCCCTTACCAAAAAACTTCTCAAAGAGTTGTCTATTCTTGTCTCTAACTTCTGTCTTCCTATCGTAAGTCAGATTCACTCCCAGCACTCAGTTCCAACGGCTCTAAGACCATTCGCTACCACGGTCAGTTCTTAGGGCTCAACTTGCTTGATCGGTCAGTAACTGTCACAATGGCGCAGAAACACCTTCTTTGTGGGCTCCTTCTACCTCACTGCTCACTCCTTTTTGGCTTCCTATGCTGGTTCCTCCTCTCCACATCTGCTTAAGCTGGAGTGTCCCAACACTGTTTTTCCTCTTCTCCTCCACTGATTTACATTTTGACAGTTATCAAAATTTTGTATTTTTGTCTCTGTACTTCATGCATATCTTCCTCGGATAATAGCGGTTACTTTGCAAAGGTGTTAACCTGTATTTCTACCTTCTTCCCCTTTAAAAAGAGGCCACAGTCCTGGCCAGGCCTGAGGTGGTTCCCTGCACTGTTCCTTGGTATGATGCCCCACCCAGGAGTCCTCACAGCATCCCTTCAGGTTCCGGTTCCAGAACACTGGATCTGTTAGAAGGCTGGGCTTCACAGGAACAGAAGGGCTGTACTATAGGAAATAACCTCAGATTACAGAAGTCCCACCTTTCAAAGATCACTGTCATGCTCAAGCCAGCATGATTTTCCTTATTTTTATTCTCCTACAGTATTGTGATTTTGGAGATAAGATCTAAACAAACAAACAAACAAAACAAAACAAAACAAATAAATGAAACCTCTTTCTATGTCAGAATTCTCTTAGCACATAACTATAGTTAGTTATCAAGGTCCAGAAGTAAAATCTGAAGTAAGAAAGATAGTTAAGACACCTTTGAACTGTGAGATATTTAAGAAGCACTAAATAAGATCTTCGATTTTATGGGTATGCTCCAAACTCTTGCATCATTACCTCTATAACACCTGTGACAACATATGAAGACCAAGATGGCTACTATGAAGTGTGCCCACTTTTTGACCTACCTTATACTTTGAGGTGTCCCAGTTGTGGACTATGCGTGCTGGGATGAGGAAACTGTCGTCCACATGGCAGCTGCTGCAGTAGTACCACCCACTGTAATTGCAGACCTTCGCTCTTCCATTAGAAAGGCCTATAGGCCGCTGGCATCCTAGTCAAGACAAAAGGAAGAATCTATCAGTCTTGTTATTTCCATCATCACAGAACAAGGTGCCACCACCCTCAAATTAAACAAATGTCTACAACAGGAGAGAGACTGCAGAGAATACATGCCGGGATGTGTCCTTTCTTCCTAGCCTCGCAGTTTCTGCCCTTTCACTGGGTGATCAGGGTAACTGTCATCTCGGGGCTCCCCTGTTTCTGCTCTCTTTGCACACGGTTGCCAGAGATCAATCTCTCTATACCCTCATCTCTGTCTCCTCACTTCCTTCTTCACAAAGTCTTTCCAGAAACTGGTCACTTTCCTGGGGACTCCTCATCCCGGATCCTATTGAATCTGCACATGCATAACCTCTCAAGGAAGATTTTATCAACCCTGTTTTACAGTTGCAAAAAAATAGGGTTTCGTCAGGTTAAAAACCTCATTTGGGGTTACCCAGTCAATAAAAGGTTGGAGTTTGGATTTCGTTCTAAATTTGTATGATTCAAAAATGACCCTTAAAATTGATAGGTGGCCTTTCTTCATGCTTAGCACACCAATATAAGGAATTTTGCCTTTGAGTGACCCCCATTCTATCTTTCCTACTACCTACTCCTGCTGCTCTCCACTGGGAATAGAAATCTTTATTCTAGTCAGAGCACTCTCAGCTCTGTTTCCCTAGTGAATGCCCTTCATGGCTTAGTGCATATTATTTCTAATGCAATGTCATCTTCTCTGTTCACTTTGCCAAATCCTGCCCATTACTGGGATACCTGGTTGCCTGCAAGTGACACCGAGGGCCCTTCTCTGTCCAATGATGGCCCTGATTCTGTGAGCACTGTCCTTGCATTGCCAGAAACTTGGTAATAACCATGGCTCGGCCACAAAAAAGTTGTTAGTTTTCTTTAGATGGGAGGAATAACCTTCTACTGATAAGTATAGAAACTCTGTCACAGTGACTCCAAAGGACAAAATCCTGGCAGTTCTGATAATCACAATGATATAAATGGTATCATTATTCTGGCATTTCTGATCTACACCTTTCATTAGAATTCCTTCTCTATGGCCCATTTCATGCATTGGCATCAGTAAGTATCTCAAAGAAATTTCACATTAAACCTATTGCCTGAAATGTTGCACCCCCCCCACTTCCATAAGGAGCCCAAACATGTTTACTTAATAAATCAGAACTCATAATGAGATACTGACTCAGTGCACCCCATGAGTAGAAGCACTGTAACACAAAGAACTTTTATTTTCATCATAGAAGGCATTGGGAACCAAGCAATTTCACAACTCATCCTTCAGGAAGATAATTTGATCCCACTGTATATTTTAGATACAAGAAATATTGCAAGACAATAACTCCTGTGTCAGTAAGCAAATGTTCTAGTATTATGCTTTAAGAGCTTAAGATACTGTTTCTTTCAACTGTCCTCTTCTTTACTCTTGAGTAGCAACAAAATCCTAACAAGCTCCTGTTTTTCAATTGGCTGAGGAATGATGTGTGTGCTGGAAAAGAAAGAAGCAAGCAGAACTGCCGCTCCTGTTGGGCAGGGAAGTGCGTCCCCCTCCAGAGGCAGGGAAGGCTGGGTGCCATCGCTGCCCTCCCCCGTAGTGGCACTCACCTGGCATTTAGCACAGGCCTCCTTAAGCCACTGGCAGGATCATGCTGGAAACTCTTCAGATTGGTGTTTTTGTCCTCAGCACTTAAAAGTTATATACATTCTATACCATCAATAAATGTTTATGTTGAAGTGAGTTACTTGTTACACCTACATTCACATACATACAAAGAAGTGTTCATTTGGTCTTGCTACTCTATAAACTGATTCTATCCTGGTCACCCGACGACTGCAGCAGCCGTGTTTGTTACTAGCCCTGTGAAAAGGGATGCTGTCCATTTTAAGAATTCTACATGACACATGTGATAACATATGGAATGTGGAACAGAGGTCAGTGGATCCTGATGTATCCTTGATATTGGGATGTTACTGTTTCCAAAAATTAGTAGACTCTCAAGTTAACACTGAAATGATGAATAGAATTCAATCTCGCCCAAGAAATGATGAATAGAATTCAATCTCGCCCAATGATTTGAAGTGATCATGATCTTATAGAAATTCAGGTTCAACATTACAGTTTAAATTCTCATTATAGAACACTCCCCCCCAGAAAATTTAGGCTATTGTAGCTCATTGTTTGTCTTTATTTTGAAAGTAATAAACATCAGTAAGCATCTGTTGGATGCTTTGTATATGCTTTTGTAGTAACTGCTCAGTTATCAGACTATAGTTGTTAATGACTTCATTATTTTTTCCTGGGTACAACAATCATGGATAATATTAAAATATACAAATATTCATTATACAGAAGCATATTATAGCCCAAAGATGTTTATATCAACCAGGCAAACAGGTCAAAAACTTAATGAGCTGGGGGTGCAATTGCTTGAGTTAACCAAATGAGATACACATCCTCACTACTTTGCCAAGTTTAGGCTCATAAAAACAAAGTCTGAAAGTACAGAGTGAAAGTTTATTTAGGTTTCAGTTTAGACAACTGAACATCAGAGCATAAACTACCGTTAACACTCTCAATTCACACCTTATTTAAAACGTTGCTTTCCTTCCGTAGGTGCTGAACTCTCACCCCTAAAGACTCAGAAGTAAAGGCCTGGTGGCGCAGCGGGTTAAAGCACAGCACTGAGAATCTAAAGCCGCCTCCGTATGAGTTCTATTCCCGCCTGCCCCAGAGGAGACCACATGGCGAGGCAGACCTCTCCTGACCCGCCCGCTGCTCCCCTCAGCAGTGTACTTCTTCGATCTGCCTGTTCTGCTCCCCACTCTGTCTCTGGTGAAGCCTCTCGCCGCCCCTGCACCTCTGGCCTATACTCCTCAGTTCTGTATGCATAAATAAATCTTTAAAAAAAAAAAAAAAGACTCAGAAGCAGATCTGCACCTATCTGCATGCTCAGGACTACTTGTGAGTCATGGTTCATGGACAAGTGTGGGCCTAGGGTCAGGAAGCCTGAGTCTAGGACACTGAACGCCAAACCAGCAAACTCTCCAGGCTGGCTTTACTCACCCAAACATGTGCGGCTCAGCCCAAATCTGTGATTTGCCAGATTCACTGAGCATCTGAACTTTCTGGAGATACTTGTGAAAAATGTAGAGATCTTCCTAGGGAATTGTGAGTCTATACAGCTGAGTAAGGCCCGTAACCTGCATTTCTAATCCAACTAGCACTGGAGACTCTGTGGGCAAAGGCTGAGAATTGTTCCCTGACTTTGAAGTGACTGCAAAGGTCCCTCCAAGCTCTTAAGTTTGATTCTACTAGAAAAAAAGTGCAGAGGGTGTGGAGACTGACTGCTCTATGAAAGCTCATAATTTGTCACATATTTTACTTTCTAGACTTCCAAAATCAACATTTCAGATTCTTAGTCAATTTCCAAAAATTTGCTCTGTATAAATAACCCAAGTTCACTTTACCAGTGTTTTTCCAGAGCATTCATTGTACCCACTGAGAAGCATTTAACTTGAAAAAATTATAACTTAATATCCAAATCCAATGTATTTGTCACTTAAAGAATATAGGATGATCAGGAAAGAAGATTAGTCAGCTAGTGGCCTGACGTATTTTCTAAAATACAACACATACCATTTATTCGAATACGGAAACACCCGTTCTTTCAATTAATTGCAAGATTTCCTTCTTACATATCATACTAGCAAATCATGGAGTAAAAAATCTCTGAAAGAGTCCCCATAAAGATACACAATCTGGGATTTCACTTAATCACTGTGAGGTTTTTCAACAGGGGGAAAATGTGTTTTCTTAATAATGACTGTAAAAAAAACACATTTTTTGGAGGGTGCCAACTAGATTCTGAAAACCCACATTCTGGAGAGAAAAACAGTTGTAGAGACAAAGAAATAATTAATTAAAATAACTAATTAGAGCTTATTTACATATTATATTTTTATGTACTTTCAAACAGACTTTTCCACAATGTCTCTAAATTAAAGGATATTTGCAGTAAGGAACTCTCCACATGTTGGATCAAAGCAAACACATTCTTCGCAGTCTCTTTTTGAAACTTTTCAGTGTGTATTCAATTCATAAGAACAAAAAACTATCTCACAAGAGAACCCACTGGCCTTTTTTTTTTATTGCTTCCCACCCCACTTCAAATCTCTAATGAACACATGCTCTCAAGAGCTTAGCTTCCCCTCTGATACACTTTGGAAACAAATGTCACCATTTAACCCAAATCCCATTTGCTGCATGTATAGTGTATTTCTCTGAGTAGTCTTTCACTAAAGGCACCCATAGAGCCTGTTGCTGAGGGGTTGAAGCAGAAAATTTGGCATAATTCTCCACAAAGGCACAATCTTTCTTCTAACAAGTGTACCTAGTTAGCTCCATTGGCTGCAGCATGGTGCTACTGAAGCTGAGATCTTGAGGAGGTGCCAACGACCTTCTCTGCTTCATGGCTACCAACTCAGCCCTCTGTTCCTGCCCAGCAGTAGGAAATTTCACAGACAGCAGAGAAAAGCAACAAGAGCAGTAGCTGCAGTCAGGTGATTGGTGAGAACTCACACATACTTTCTAAACATGGTCAACCACAATACCCCCTCACCTAATTTGGAAAAGAAAAGCAATATTTTATATTGGGAAGATAAGGTAATGTTCTAAGAAAAGAATAAAGGCAAAAAAATAGGAGAGAGGGTGTCTTATAAAAGGAAGGGAGAGAGAGAAAAGAGAACAAGTGACAACTTTTCACCTACTCCATTAAAATAGAAAAACTCAGGCGGGCAAGTGGCATGTCTCTTTCACTGGGTGCGCACCTGGGAGAGAGGTGACCGCCGGTGGAGAAGGAGCACTGCCCTCTTCTGTCCTCCCTCCACCCAGTGTCCAGCCAGACAATGAGTGCTTCGGAAAGCTCTATGCAAAGTGTGGGTCTGGACTCGATCCTAGGCTCCAGAGACTAGATTTTCCAAAATGAAGAC